TTATTAATTAGTGTTTTTCTATTCCATATATATTTATTTTACTTTCAATTGATGTCCTATATAGTATTATACCATCAACCAAAACTAGTTTATCATTAAATACTAACAAATTTTAGTTTAAAATAATTTTTTAATAAAATTTTCTTTTTTATCAGCTTTTTTTTATATTACATTGCACGGTATGAAATAACTCTCACAATATATAATGTTACTTCACTCACATATTATATAACTGAAACTCAAGATCTTTGATTTTTACAAAAATGAAATTACTACTTAATTACTTATTTCATTACTATTTTTATTTTCATTAGCTTTTTAATTAATAAAAGCGCTCATGTTTTTTTTTTTTTTTTAATGAAAATTTCGTTTGGCTCCTTTTAAAAAAATTTCCTAGCTCCGCCGCCACTGTCAAACCCAAGGGTCCGAGGTGTGGGTTTGCGCTCTGCGGCCTGCCATCACTGGATGGATCCCATTGGGCCTAACCCAAAATTTTTATAAAGTGTCTTTGCTTCCTCGACTCCAGCAAGCAGACCAGAAGCTGGCAAAACCTGATCAGCGTTCCTTTCAAATTCGAAATCGGCATCTCGCTTCTTCGCTTGTACCAGCAACACCACACCGCACCACACCACACCAGGCCATGGCTATGGCTCTGGACCCCGAAACCGACCTGTCGTTTCCCTACTGGACCACCGTTCGCCGACGTTTCGGTCCCGACTCTTCTTTCTTTGCCAGCGGAAACCTCGAGAGAGAACTTCTCGCCAAACAGGTTTTTTCTTTTTTATTTCCTTTTTCAATTAATTTTAGATGATGCCGACATCGAGTTGATGTAATTTCCCCGCGAATAATCTGTTTTTGGATCTTGAATTTTTCTTGGTTTGGATGCAATGAAATGGTTATTGTAATATAATTTTTATCAGTTTGAAATCATGAATTTCAGTAATTAGTGTAAGTATGAATATTCTAGAGCCTTTTCTCATATTCCCTCCCTTGTCTCTTGTATTGTGCAGGTTGCCTTGGATTTAACAGCAGATGAAAAGCATCAGCTTCAGAACATGGTATACCAGGATACCAGGTTTTACTTCGCACCTGCTATTGTTAAACTGTTATATCCTTTTTCAGAAAGATTGTAAGCATAGTTAATTAGTATAATAAAAAGTTTATATGGCAAATTAGTAGCTTGGTTAATTATTGAGTAGAAGTTGTGGGACCACTGATGATATCCCTTGCACAGGGAAAGGAGGAAGAGGAACGGGGTGGATGACTCCATCTCCAGGTATACTACCCCCTCTCAGTTGCTGAGCGAGAAAATTCCTTTAGGAAGGGCCAAACGAAATTTTGATTGAAAAATAAAAACGTTTTTTCATTAATTAGAAGGAAGTTTTTCTAACTTGTATTTTTAGAGTATAAATTTACCTATTATATAATTTAAATTTAAAATTTTTTATTTTTTATAAAAAAAAATTATTATTAAATTACTAAAATTGTTCACAGTTAAAAACACATTTTTATTATTAATTATCATTAAAAAATAAAATCTAATATTTATTTAATCAACTATTCAATTAAAACAATACATAAAATATTGGTAATAAAATTAATGTTATTTTTTGTTATTTTTTATATTAATTAATATAAAAAAATATATTAATTATACCTTTAACTTGTATACTAAAATCGCAAGTGGCAAGATAAATTATTAAAAAAAAGCTAACAAAAAAAGAAAATTTTAATAAAAAAATTATTTTAAACTAAGATTTGTTAGTATTTAATTATAAATTAATTTTAATTAATAGTATAGTACAGTCTTCAAGGCCTGTGCCCCCTTGTCTCTGTCGGTGCCCCTTGATATTTGCCTAGTCTGTTCAATAATTTTTATTTTATAATTTGATGCATTTTAAATTATAAAA